CCACTGTACTGCCTCTTGACCCGTTGGTTCTACCATGTATATAAGCTCTCAGTAGATACGCTACAATCCTCAGATCAAGTGTGGTCTGCCCTCCACATCCTGACAGTCTCCCACTTGTGTGCTCTCTGCTTATCTGAGTGGTCCTGGCTCTCACCCTTGTGTCGCCTTGACAAGCCCTGAGCAAGACTTCATCTCTATCTGACATGGCCACTCTTAGCCCCGAGCAAGACTTCATCTCTGTCTCTAAGGGAGTACCGGTCGGTTCAGAGTCGAATGGAGAGAGCATGGCAGGCCTGTAGTGGTTGGCATAAGCTGTCGAGGCCATGGACTTAGAGACAGAGATGAGGTCCCGCTCATGCTAAAAGCTAAGGGAGCAAGCAGTGTGGAGGCATAACCATTTTAATTGTAATGGGGGAAGTAGGGAAGGTCAGTAGTGAGTGGCATGAAATCTGAACTCGAGACCAGTGGTAGTCAGACCATTTTTGTCCACCTGTTAGAAGTGTCCAAACAAGGACTTAAAAATACGAGAGATGTTATGATGCTCGTTAGCTCAGTGGTGAACTTTTGGCTCGCGTTACCAGAGAGACCTGGGGTTCGAATCCCGCTGTAGCTCTGGGCTATAAAATTGCGGCTCGGTGCAACGCATCCTGGCCATTACAAGACTCAAACACATTGTGTCATTCCCATACTTTGACTATTTATGATAACCTTACTAAAATGACAATAAAACGTTCACAAGAAACTGGCACTCCCGTACTACTACTGCTCCTCCACGCGGCCCGTGCGGACCACCCTCAATCCACAGTTCCTCATCTGATTTGTTTGTACGCCTGGTAATCCTTAACCACTGCGAACTTGGTCAGTGCAACTAGAAGCGGCATTTCCAAGTGACGATAGCGCGCCATGTCCTTGGTCGTGCTAAGCACGCCTTTGAGGATGAGAGTCACGGAGTCCCGGCACCCGTCCCGCTTGTCCAGACAGTGCCATATGTCCGATAAATCCTCGTTATTAGTTCCAGATGGAAAAGATGCGATGATTGTCGAGATGGGAGCGTCAAGGGGAAGATCGTCGAGGAAGCAAATGTTCCGTCTGTCCGACAGCATCACGCTGCGCAAGCCGCGTAACTCGCGCAATAAATTGGTAGGGGGAAACTCATGGTCACAGTACTTGTCATCGGGGTTGGAAAGTGTGAGAGTCTCGATGTCTCTGCACGGTAGCATAGAGGCGACGTCCATCCACGACCATGAATTGTCGTAGCTCTCCATACGCATGATAACAGCAAACACGTTATGAGGACGCATGCACAAAGAGAAAAAATCGGGGCCGTGAAATGTCCTTGTACGACTGCGCATAACTTCACAATTATATTGAATCTCGAGAGAGTCGAGCGCGTCTGGTGAGTAGCCAAAGCAGGTGAAAGACAGCTCCATGGCGGTGGTTATGTTGGATGCCGACCACACGTCAATCACTACGGAAGATGACGTCATGACAGTGAAGTACGCGTGAACTACCGTTAGAAGGGCCTCGTCCAGGCTTTCAATGTGTAGCTCGCGCAACTCAGTGCGTTTGCGGCCAGTATTATCTTATGTGTGATCGAGGTCTCGTGTGTCAATGCAGCGTCTTAGTCGGACGATTGCGAGATGTTGGCACGAGTCGAACAAGTATTGCAACTTGTCTACGGACAGTGGACAATCCGCCAGATCTTCGGTGTCAGATCTCACAGATAGCTCCATGAGACGAGGCGCGCTAATTTTCCGTAAATGGGAGTTTCCTTTGGGATATACATATCGAGGACACCAAGATTGTCCAGAGAGACAGACAACAGACGGGTTGCGATGATGGGCAAGTACCCGTTATAGATATTCTGGCGATAATTTGCCACGATCGCGTACACTTTGCTCCAGAGCTCGTGTGCCATAACTGCGGCCATTAAGTTTGACGTCATCGACTTTCCATTTGTGTTGTCGTACAAGAGACATAAGTCTACCCATAAGGGGGCTTGCCCAGCCTTCTGCAAGAAGACATTGAAGATGTCGATGGTGCAAAATGACGTTAACCACAGAGCCCAGATGGTACTCGAGCCGTGTAAAGTCGTACGCCACGAGCGACAGACATGTCCCGCTGAGACCCACCCGATCTGTCTCCTATTGTGTGCGCGATCGTATTTTCCAGCCGGCCATATCGCAGCCAAGTACAAGAAGATATTGAGCATTGTTTCCTCTGAGATACGCTGAATAGTAGCCTACAGATAACCCTCAACCTATGCAGTAGTACATTAATAGAATATGTACCATGGTCTCTGCTTGTTGATCGTACGCGTGGCCATCCGTTGTCCCCCAGAATAAGAGATCTTCCACTGCGTAACAGTTCCGCGCATGCGCAGCTGCTAGCGCAGTATGTCCAGCCAATCCTCCATCCCGTCATAGCGAAGCTTCAACTCGATGTGCAAAAGCTTGAGCAAAGTGGGTGTGCGTGCGAGATCCCGATCGAGTTCCGATGGGAGATAAAGGACAGCCGTGCGTTTGGCTTGATCTCCTACCGCGGTGTCTTCGTCTTTGTCGTCGGCCATGGCCCTGCTGCTCTCGACGCCCTGCAATTCCTGTACGGCCGCGAACACCAACGGCATGATCCATTGCTGATCCTTCCGGAATAGATAGATTTGCCGTTCTAGTTGTGTTTGCTCCTCCAGGCGCTCGGTCTTCTGTAGGATTGTGTTGTTCGCCTTCGCTCTTGACGCGCGCAACCTGTACACTGTCAATTGTGTGCCCGTGGCCGCTACAATCGAGACTCACTGGAGAGCCTCAATCTTCAAGCCGCACATGACGAAGTTAATCATCGCCGACGCCAAATCGTTGACCGCGCCCGGTGATGGCTGGCCGAACCCGTCCACTATAACCGCAGGAGCTTCCCCCGCTGGCGCCGCGACTGCGTCTCCCGATGCACCGGTGTCCTGGGAGGGGGCGGCAAAACCCAACCCGAGCTCTTTAACTGCCTGTGCGGCAAGCTGAGCGCTCTCGAGTCTCGCCTTCTCTAACGATTGCTCTGAGTTTTCATCAGTAAATCGTGTTAAACACTTGGATGACTAACTTACTCTTAGCATGAGATTCGTACAGATTCTTCACAGCAGCCGGGCCGTTGATAATTTGGCAACCCAGAGTGTTGCGAGCGTTCCTTGTTTCCCGATCCAATCCGCCTTGCACCCAGGCCTGTCCTGTCTGCGCGTTCTCTCTCATGACGATCTGATGCAGGGCGGTGTAGATCTCGCAATGCTCGCGCGCCTACTGCAATGCCACTTCGAGCTTTCGCCACAAGAAGCCGCCTGCAACGCCGTCAGCATGAGTTTCAAATGGTGATGATTAGATTGCGAACCCATGCTGATAAATTTGCGCCAGTTCCACGCGCCGCAGTAAAAGTCAATGGTGTCGCGCATCGTGCCGGGTCCCATCTCGCAGAGACTCGACACCGCCAGATTTAGACCAGCCCAAGCTCGTTCCAAAGCTTCGCTGTCCGTTTGACCAGTTGCCCTGAGATACGCCAGGTTGAACCAAAGCTGGCAGATGACGAGGTAGCCAGGATTGTGAAACTTCGGAATGCTGAAGCTAATGTTGATGTCGTGAAGAAGCTTGACGGCGCCAACTCGGATGAACGACTTCTCTGGCACCACCATCATGCGTGAGTTCAACTTCCTGGTATACTGACAGACGATGTCGTAGTATAAGTGTAAGCTTGGCGCGCGTACTCTCCTGACCGCCGACGCGAGGATGAAGTCCATCGTACTGTATCTGACCGGCCGCGATAACGATGAGCGCACGCAGCAACCATTGAATGACATACAACTAACCTCTCTCCCTTCACCAGGGGACCGACAGAGTTAGGCCAAAAGAACTCGTGCCGAGAACAGAAGACCACGCCGACTCCGGTGGTACAAAGTCCCTTACCCGCTTCAAGGTTCGCTAGTACGACGGCGCTAAAGCGAGAACAAGTACTGACCTTAACGCTCATCAGTATTTGCACTCAAAGTTGTGTTCAGTTCACGTACTTCTTCATCGTTTAAAAACGTGCGGAGATAGTCTTCGTAGTGGACCTCCGGGACCATGTACGCCATGCCGTCTCCCAGATACGGACTCGTCTCTGGTGTAGAACGGGTCATACGATTCTTGGCGCAGAAGTTGCAATCCATCGATAGTTGAACTAGAGTATTGAATGTCCTGCGTCTATCGTCAACCATGCACTCGCGGGTCTAAGCGGCTTGCTTACTCGTATTCCTTAGCTAATTCCGGAGACAGTGCTTGCAGCTTAGCAACAACGTCTGTGTTGATGCCCTCGTGAGGGCAAGCCGGACAGATCACCGCCAACTCCCCGTACGCCGTCTTCTCTATACCGTCCAGATCATGCCCGCACCTGCCACGTTTCAGTGCGTGCAGATGGCGCCATTGATGGGCGATGCGCATGAAGTCCTTGGAGCGATCCTGAACATTGCGCATTAGATGTACAGTAAGCAAACGGGCAGTCCATACACGTACCGGTAGATGATGGAGTCCCGTGCCATCCGTCAAGCTTTCTAATGCTCTATAAAAGTCGTACGCGTTGTCCTTTCCTGCGCCACTATGGGCGTCGAAAGCGTCCAGAACCTCAAACGTCGCCGCCGTAAGAGGCTGCTCCGGTGTCGCCGGATACCATCGAGAGTTCATGAGCTGATTGACGATAGAAACCTTCTCTCCAGTGCATCCGCAGAAAACAGCGTTGACTTTGTGCACGCTGTTGGTGTGAATGACGACGAAGTCCTTCACACGGTGGCGTGGCAATCTGCATCTGCGCCCATTCCAATGGCCGAAGTTGGCTGTAAGGCCGAGAGCAGCGAGCGTGCTTCGCTGCCATTCGCCGTTGTACCAGATCTTGGCGTTCAGGTCAGTCTCCCTCTTTGTCACCCAGACATTGCCCACTTACTTCAATCCGATCCAGAGGGTGCATGTGGTGTTTGTGTAGGATGCAAGACTCGCAAAACCAGGTGCATCCGAAATAGTTTGACAAAATGCAGCGGTAGCGTCGTGTTGAGGTGTTGGGGTTTGGACACCCAGTGCGAGCGCAACCTTTAACCTTCAGCCGTAGGGGCCGGCCAACCAGGTCGGCCCATACCGGTACACGAAGCCGACCTGGTCGGCCATTTTCGGCAAATTCCGAGGTCTGAACCAGGTCGACGATTAAAAAAATGAATTTTTACTCGAGAAATAATACCGGACAGGCCTAAACTCCGCGCGCGATCGTTTGGCCGGACTTAAATGAGCGGGAAAATGATTATTTATACTCTTATTTTTGAAAGGAGTCTTTCAAGGCGGCGAAAATGGGCGTGACAGCGGGAACGCGGCATGCCAGACGACACATAGCCTGCAAATATGCAAGAAAATGACATGCCCATTAAATACGAGGTACACAATTCATACGAATAACACAAGAGCTATACAGATAAAAAAGAGACCGTGCGAGGGGGAACGAGGGTGGACGAGCAAGTTCAGTGGTCCGCACATGACGACAATCGACGGCCTTGAGTAAATACGAGCAGCCCTGCTTGGTAAATCAGCGCAGGAGCTGGAAGCACGAGCAAGTAACGTATGTTGGGCGACACGCGCGAGCGCGCCAGCGCGTAAAGCGACCTGAACACTCCAACCCTCCGAGGCACAAGCAAGGAAGGTCCAGCAGGGCGGTCGAGACGAGCGGGGCGAGACGCAACGCCGGGCGCAAGAGCGAACGACGAGGAGAGAGACGGAGAGGGAGACGAGCGCGATGACGGGGAAGGACAAGTCGAACGAGAAATGACAAGTCGCGCGACGCGCGTTCCGAGTGCTCGGCAAACTCCGATTGGCTCGCTGATCCCGAGCTTCTCCGACCCGACGCGTCAGCCGCGACAAGTCGTTCGTTTCTTTCTTCTTCCCCCCATCATCCCTCTTGCCAGTTGACTTCTCCTCCGCTCGTCCCCCGCGCTCCTCTCGTCTGCCTCGTCATCGTCGCCGTCGTCTCAGGCGTGAAGCACGCCATGCAGCTGCCTTTGTTTTGGCGGGTCCGTCGTCGGTTGGCAACCCGACGATGAGCTGGCGCGTCCCCGCGGCCCGCGCTGTCCTTAGGTACGTCGCGTCGAAAGCAGCATATGACAGGTAGCTAATGAGCATCCTCACAGTCGTTGGCGACGGCTTTTCTGTGTATTGCTAAGGCCGGTACGTTGGTATTTTGTGTTATTGACGACCCGCGCTCACGAAGTTGCTCCCAGTGCATGGTTCGCTCGCCCCTGCCGTTAGCGCGCGCCGCTCGCCTTACCGCCGTCCCAAATGGGCGGCTCTTCATTGTGTCCGCATCGGCGCCACGCCGTGGTAGTTACTGTGTACGTTCCAGGCTAGTTATATGTCATTCGCCAGTTCTAATTGCATTCCAGGTCCACCTCTCGGCCTGCGGCCTGTCGCTCTTGCGTCGTTCGGGACGCATCGCTCGCTCGCGGTGCTCTGGAGACGCCCCGTGCTGTTCGCGCTGAGGAGCGGCCTTGCGGCCGCCAGTGGACGGCGCTCCGCGCCGTTCTGCGCGTGGGTTATCGTGCTTGCGTGGTCCGTGTTGTGTTGTTATGCTTTGTACCTGTAGTACGGTTGTGTTTGTGGCTCCAAATGTACCATATGTATTATCTTGGTGGTTGTACGCCTCGAGCGCGCTATGTACGAATAATATAATTGTTTTTTTGTTGCATTTACTTCGTGGCTGACATAATCGACTTGGTGCTTTTTTATCACCGTGTTCCTGAGACTTCGGCGATAGAGGTCGACCTGGTCGGCCGAGGCCGACCAGGTCGGCTTCGTGAATGGATATGGGCCGACCCAGATGGGTCGGCCCCTAGTGGTGTAACCTTCCTTTCCACTACAGCTTTAGAACGGCCGTCCAGCCTCAGAAGAGCTCTTAAGTATGGCCAACGTTTGCGAACCCAGTATAGGAGGGGATGATTCTGAAGATGCTGTCAGCGCCAAGTTCATACCCCCCCTACAGTGAACGTAGTGAATGCACCATCTGTGGCTTACTAAGGGCCGGTACGGTGTCCTCTGGATCTGCGGGCTCGGGTGGCTCAGGCGGATCGTCGTACGCGCTTGGGTCCATTTCTTCGCCGCCCGCGCCCATCTGGCTGGACTGAGGTAGTGTTGCTTCTAACTCGCGTAGTGATGTCGAGGGGATCTGTATGCGGCTTGTGCTGGTCGTCGCACACCCATCCCTTGAGATGGACACATCCACGCTCTGGCTACCACATTCTTCATAGTATGGTGTCGTGCGCCCTGCACGCCGATTGCTCTTGCACACGGTGGCCGGTAAAGCGACGGGCCTCCCTCTGGGGCGCTCGGACATTGAAGAGAGGGGAGAAAAAGTTCCAGGATAACGTATGAGCGGAGAGCATTTAAAGGAGACCCGATGAGCTGTGCACCATCATCTAGGATCGACCCCTGTTCAGATGCTTCCGCTTGCTGTGCTGTTCCCGAACCCATTAGTTCAAAGCAGTACGCACACCCCATAGTAGAGCCAGATGTTTTGCTCGGAAGACAGCTACGCCGGGAAACTACGTATTCCACTGTTGTCGCTGCCATCGCTCAGTCGCCGAAGGAGGAGGTTCGAGTCTCGGCGGCTAGTGAATCAATTGAAAGGAGACCATCACACAAGGAGCTCATGGACTCTGAATTCAGCCCTGGCACGTCTAATCGTTAGTAACAGAAACATCTGCACCCGCATGGTACCAGAACCAGAAGAAAGGCGCCCACGGCCCGAATTGAAAAATGCTTTCGAGTTCTCGGGGTTTGCGGTTACATCAAGCAGGCGCACTTCCCCTTGCTATCAGAGAGAAGGTAATGCATAACACTTGAGATCTGAGAGCCAGGCCCCTACCCTCTCAGACATCGTCTACCGCGTCAAGTCGTGTTGGCAACTGGATGACTTCCCGTAACGTTTTCGCCGTCCTACACGGCCCAGCGAGGGATCTTGATGGCAGGCACGGGCTCAGTGTAGGACGAGTCGCAAACCGTAACGCGACTTTTGAACGCCTCGTCGACGCGACAAAGCCGTAAGTCGCCCACGCGCTGCAGCCTCTTTCGGCGACTGTGCAGGACGTTCTCGGTGCCCATCACCCATATTCGGCCATTTCACGAGGAACGCACCCTCTGCGCACCTCGATTTGGCCTGATTTGGCCTGAGATTTTGATCGCGAGCAGGATTTCGCGTCTAGGAAGGGGTCCCGACCCCTTCCTACTCTTTCGTCCCGATAGATCTTGATGGGGCAGTAGGACAGCGCAAAACTTCCTCGACCTTGATCGCTGAGCTGCGTGCTGCCTAATCAGGCCCGTTTCCAGAGCAACAGCGAGTGTAGGACGCNGCTGCGTGCTGCCTAATCAGGCCCGTTTCCAGAGCAACAGCGAGTGTAGGACGCGTGTAGGACGCCAAAAACGTTACGGGAAGTCATCCAATAACAGCCAAGCAGAGTAGAATAAGACTCGCCGTCACGTTGTATAGTTACGTTTAGTTCGAACTATCTCAACTGGTGCGCCCACAACTCAGCTCATGCCCGAGGTGCACGGACTGACCTCGGCGACCCTTCGTCAGCGATAACTTTACCTTCGACGGACCACCGTCTCCAGTGGCACCAATGTCCAGGTGCACGCTGCCATCAGCTGATAGGTCACAATCTAGTGGATACGGAATGCCGGCGGCGACTGCGCACTAGAGCTTGAATGAAAACCTCATGAGAGTGAGCGGCCGCCTTTGCCTAATAAGGATATTCTGTGATACGCGTGCTCGCGGAAAGCGGAGGACTGGTCCAATCACCACCAGAAAGCAATTGGTGGCGTACGCGGCCCGTAGTGGATGGGCCGTCAGGTTATGCGCAATCTTCAGCAACATTCAGTCGAAGGGTTGTAAGAAAGTTCATATGGTGATAATGGCTGATGTGGTAGCCGGAGAAAGGATGTTGCCCTCGAACAGCACCCGTAGGCGGTGAGGTGCCCCACGCCGCTCGTTGGCACGTATTCATCTTTTCCCGTGTATAATGCACCTATCAGCTATGACACGAGAGAAATAGAACTTTGAGCTTGAAAATTCGGCATATCATAGCGATGATGTTCATACCTTTCTTCCTCCACAAAAAGGACAGCTGAAAGGAAAATCATCAGCGGAAGCGGATTAACATCGAGGGGGAGCAGTGCGTACATTACGGCGCTGCAAACGGAAGGCGCAAAGGGCGGGTCGGACAATTGCAGGGCCAGCGATCCTAGGAACTGACAGTTAACCTCGGTTGACAGGGCGGTGGAAAGATAACATACGTCTTCGTTCACGCTTGTGTCACTCTAGCTGGATCGAGGTGGTCCAATACTATAGTTGAATTGTAGTGTGAATAAGCTGAGGAGGCCGCATGCTCAATCGCTCAGTCTCTCAGCGCCCACGAGAGAGTCCTTCATGCAACGTCGAGTGGAGAGATCCCCGAGACTGAAATGGCGTTCAATTGTTCAGAGCCGTCGAATTTCTGTACATGCCGTACGTGGGTCAACTTTACCAGCGCACTGGAGCGCAAGACTTGCTGCGCGAGAAGTAAGTGTAAGCAGGAAGCTGCCTGCCGACCTTCCGGTCGGACTTGGGCGTACGTGCGACTCGGAACAGAATTTCCGTTGCCAGGTCTGATGATTGTAGGCGAGATATTGAAGTAGAGGTGTATGGTGGACAGCGGAGCGCAACATATCCCGACATGAAAGCGCTTCTGGTACGAGGCGCACGCGGATAGGAACGAGCATGCGTCCCGAATCGCGTCGATATGCCATACGCGGTCAAACTTTCTCCATCGGCACCGCGAACGTCGAGGAGGCCGACCGGACGATGACCATTCTTCACGTTCACGCAAGAAGTATGCGGTAAGGAGGGGAGCTAGCGAATGAACATGGGCGCTGAGAGAAAACCCAACGTCGGTTGCCGCGACGCGCCCAATCGTTGACGGGATTGATGCGGCTTGCTCGAATAAGCATATCATCCCTAGGGTCCTCCTTGCCTGGTGTCATCGCCCTCGTTGCGTATCGAACGCTCATAGGCCAGCTACATGTTCAGACTGGCAGGCCAGCGGGGCTGAAAGCTACCGCCGTGTGCCTACAGCTGGTGCTGTGGACCCATAGGCGCCCACTTCGACGCGCCCACGTGAGCCGCGCCGGTAAGACAGCCGACGAGTTCGCGATGCGGAAGCGGAATGCCAGTCTAGCGTCTTACGCCTAGCGGCCTAGCTGACCTGACTATCTATCTGAATCCGTTCTCGAGGCCCGAGGGAGTGTTGACCCCGACAAGCTGTGTTAATGCAACTCTCGATCGTTACCAAGGTGCTATATTCTTCCATTTTAGCTGGGCGTTCACAGTTCAGATGCATTTTATTAGATGACGGGGCCACAGCGAGCCACAGAACTACATGAAATCCCAGCATCGTTGCTTCCGTATGCGCCAACCACACTATGTCCCTTAATTGCGTCCATCTTCTCCACCAGCTCCGGTGCTATCGACGCCGAAGCTTCACAGACTCCGATTCAGCGCAACCGTACGGCTGCATACTCCACTTCGCTGCGCCCGATACATTCGGGAAACATCCGCCTCCAGGAGCGATAATCAGCCTTCGAGAGCAAGAAGTGATATATTTCGCTTGACCCATCAGTGAGTAACGGGAACAGTTTGCGGCAAAGGGTATGCTATAATGTCCCCTACCAATGATCCCCCTGCGAAAAGATGAAGCAATCGAGAAGGACGACTCTTTCTGCATCCAGAGAAGACCATGGAAAAAACTACCCAGCACAAAAACGAGGGGGGACTTGTATACATGGCAAGTACAAACACATTAGTACATGACTTCTGTTGAACAACGGCGTATGCCACAGCCAGCCCGGAGAAGAGATCGAGCCCGATCGGAGACAAGTTATGCGTAGTTCAAGCGGAAGATGTCGTTGTATCTGCGAATTGGTGAGAGGCAGAATAGTTCGACGCGATGATGTTACAAACACGTAGTATGAGCCGCCCTCCGGTAAGAGGTGAAAGACCTGGGAGTACTGCAATGGGTTCGGGCTGTCGTCAACCTGAATGATATGATATGTAGATGTTGTATCTGAGTGATAAGGATGGCGTACGACAAGCATTCCGGTGACCGAGACGATGAGAGATGTCTGGCCCGGGGCAGAGGGCTGGGCATCGCGCGTGGTAACCTTATGCACAACCTTCTGGAAAGGCAAGCTCTGTATATGGTATATTGAGAAGCTATTCTGAGCATTTGGGGTGGGAAATGAACATACGACCAGCTTCTCTGTGATAGCGGCTCCGCCCATGATTTGCGAGCCCTCGAAGGTGAGCATCGAATGGTCCCGCTAATGACGAGTCAGATGATGGATCGAAGATATTCAGCCAGCCACGCACGTAAAGAGATGAGAGCCCTTGACGATTGCTGTCAAAAGTCGAGTAGTAGAAGTCGGTGAACTGGTTTGCGATAGCGTTGATGTCAGCCATGGCGAGGACGGGAGGCGAAGATGGTGGGCAGGAGCAAGTTGGGATTTGAGATTAGATCAAACGTCACGCCACGCCGAAATCAACCGCGCGTCTGACAGTTCTAGAAGCCCGAGCTTGCACCGAACCATCAACTCACGCGTCTGTTCGTCAACGCGCGAAGGCGAAGCCCATCAGCGTCTCAGCTCCCTATAGTACTTATATACTCTGCGCTGCATCAATCATGGCCCCTTCTGACCCTCCAAGACCTTCGATGCGCCGGAAGTCTTCGGCCCAGAACTTGCTCTCAACGTTCAACAAGTCGACTGTACCCGGGGCACCTTCCGGCTCTACTACGCCTTCCATACCCCATTATCCGATACCAAACGCACCGCCATCATCCTTCACATCTGCTGCTTCATCTATTATCACTGCGTCGACGCCAACTGCTAGAGAATGGGATGCTCAGAGCTTACATTCAGACGGAACTGCTTCGACCGCCGCGCCGTCAGTCGCAAGTCAGCCGTTCACACAGGCTAGCGTGGAATACCTGCGAGATATGGTTCAAAAGCGTATCATCACATTGACATACATGCGCAATGTACACGAAGGGTACGCAGCTACTGCAAGCGCCAAAACTAGCGTCTAACATGCCATTGTGACATCTCCCATCCAGGCACACGCACTGGTTCCACACTATCGCAATCAGTCGGGCAGACCTGGATAGGGCGTTCGACAACCACAGTATGAAGAAACGGACTGCGCGCTTCACCGTACTGGCTATGTCTCTCGCCGCGCTACTCGATGTAACGCATCCGACCGACCTACTTCGTGGGCTACTGAATACGTTGACGGAATGGGAGCAGAATAAGGATGAGGGCGATCGACAACGACTAGTAAGTCGTCAGCCCGGCGATTGCACTACCCAGCTTACAAGATTCCTGCAGCGAATATGGAAGCGGCCACCGAAGTCAAAGGGTGGAATCGCGGATTACTCTGCTTTACCCGACACCGCCGACGGCTCCTACTTGACCGTCACGCACGTTCCCTTCGCTCTGGATTACACCACGACCCTTCTATCTTTGCTCGACATCCTCTCTGCACTCTACGCCAAGATCGCGAAACTGCTAGGACCGTCGCCATTCCCCCATGCATCACAACATATGCTCGGATTATCGGCGCCACATCCGGGCGTGAGCTATCTCTTCTCCGGCGGAGGCCAGACAGCGGCAGATGGAGAACTATACGAGGTGGCTTTTGGCGGTGGGGGGCCTGTAGGCGGCCTGAGTAGTCCGCCGCCCAGCTGGACTCCCGCACTAGGAGAGCTTGTCGTGAAAGTGGATACAAAGTGCAAGGTATGTCCAGCTTCAATGCTTTTCCTGAGCTCAAAATTGAGTAAGGCCACTAGAAAATAACTTCGCAGTTGCTGAAGGAGCTTGATACCCTGGCACGCGACGGTATTCGTGACGAACTGGCGTCACTAGATCCGCTACTGCGGAATCTGCCTCTGGCCAATGAGCACGGGGACAATGATTGATGTCTGGTCGGGCCTGCTCGTTGATTCACTATGTATTTGTATGCTTTGTGTCTTGTGGGGATGCCCTGCGCATAATTGCGCACTCATGGCGTGAAGAGGAATCCGCACTTCACTGACTCGCATGCATGATAAATATCGGCCAGGGCGGAGATCCATCACATTTGGCATCATACAGTCCGATTACAATGGCAGCAGATGAAGACGTAAGAAAGCTAGATACTCGAGCCCGTTTAGAACATGGCCATACAAACATCCGAACACTAAACATCAATCATCGCCGAGCGCTGGTGGCTGCGAATCTCAGCGTAACTCGACGCACTTGCAGCGGCATCTTCACTGCCCCATGCTACCGCACCAGCATGGATGTGGCGCGTTCTCAAGGGCCTTTGATATACCCGCACACGACCTGGATACAGCTCGGCGTAGGAATAGCTGGCACCGGCAGCCTCCGACTCGTCAGAGTCTATCGTCTTCGCTACGAATGTGCCTTCAAACGCCGAGTCGAGAGAGAGGTGCGCGGGGCCGTTCCTGGCTTCAGCGTCGATGGTGACCGTCGCGTAGGTCGAACCATCCTCAATAGCAAGATCCAAAGAACCCTCGAGCGATCTGGCGTCAACCTTGAAGCTGTTGTGTTCCTCTTTCCTCGAAGGGCCTATGAATAGCAAGCTTGTCTTAGATGACCTGGGGAAGAGACGATCAGCAATGTAGACATATCATGACAAGGAGTTAGGCTTACGACCCATAGGTGAATATGGAAACGGTCTGCACTTGGTGATCAAGAGAGTGGGTTATCTCGACGCGCGCGTCGATGGGGGCATGTATCCCTGTGATGCTGACATTCCCGCTCGAGGAAAAATGACCGAAGACGCCGTCGTGTTTTCCGCCGTCACGCGAGTTGAGGTTCAGCTGGCGTGCCATGAACCCTGCCTAGAATGCGTGAGACGAGGGTGTTGAAATGACAGCATCGCGAACTCACTTGAGCAGTTATACGTCCACCACCCAACATGACGTTGCCGAGAACGACTCCGGCGTAAAGATCTACATCGTATCCGTCCGTGCGTAGCGCGTACGCCCGATCGCCTGACGGGATGGAGAGCGTGATGTTGAACCATATATCTTTACTGGCTTCCCTCTCTGTGTCGTTTGTCTCCCGGCGGTGTAACCTGAAGACGTCCGACTTCTGCAAGGCATCGGGATCGTATTCGAGCGTCTGCGTCGTAGTGGTCCCATTGGACTCGACGAACATCCTTTGCTGCGATAGTATCTCCTCGGTCTCGTCTGCACGGTATGTGCACGCAGAGAAGGGACTCAGTGCGTCCGGGTCGTCGTAGAATGCGTCGATGCTGACTGTCGTCTGCCCTTCTGATCCAGAGACGACGTGGAGCTGCATGCCAGGGCTGTCCATGTAGATGTCGCTATCAACGACATATTTGTGCACGTCGTGTCGGAGGGTGAACTGACTTGTCGCATGAAAGCGCCGCAAGCCCATCGGGGTGACGATACGGGATGGTTCGTGCGATGTGGGGTCCCACGCAGAGAGACAGGACTCATCGGTCGGATTGATGTAAGCGCCATCGAAGAATATCGAGCCACGCCAGACGCTGCGACTGATGTCTACTACGGCACCCGGCACAGGTTCTGCAGGGGGCACTCGCAGAGGCTCGACCTCTATGGCCTGTTCATCCACCGACGCCAGCTCCGAGGGCGGTGATATCTCTTGTTGTGCGGGGAGGTGCCATCCACAGCGGCGGCCGACGAAGAAGAGGGCGAAGACGACGGAGGCACAGGCCAGCGCGATTGGCAAGCGATTAGGACGACGGCGCTCCGTGGAGACAACGGGCGAAGGAAGGTTAGCGTCGTTGTCCTTACCGACGCTCTTTTCGTCGGCACGAATTGCGGGCATCGAGAGATAGTCCATGCTGGAGGGGATCAGACTATGGTATCTCCAGGGTATGGCCCAGTACGCTTATATGAACGGCACTTCCGGCCCCGAGTCAGGCATCCAGTATGCTGAATTGAGAATGCCCACGTCTTCGGCAACAGACCAATGGCGCTCGCATCTCTTTGACCCGAAACAAGCGCCCTACACAGCTGTCGTTCGCACGCAGAGAAGCCGGAGGTGTGGCTCCGAAGGACAGACTGTTCCTCGCTGGCATAACCTTTCGGGAAGAAGTATAGTGAGCGACGGTCATGTCTTCGATGGTCAGAACAGAGCCTGTATTCACCATATTTTCCGTCGTCGGTTGAGTATACCGGAGGGATATGTCGGTCTCAAGATTCGAGAATCCATCTCCATCTCTGATCTACGCCCAGGCAGATCAAGCGCGCCGCGCGCGGCACTTCTCATAGTTTGCGGCCTGGATACCACATATCGATTATCGCACGTCACAAGGACATCTGCCATAGTGCTACGTTTGCGGACTGCTACAGCCAAAATGGCGCAAGCTGCAGGTGCCTGAAAGCGAACGGGAATTGATGTGGTTGGGCATGCACATGGACGTTGGGTGAGAGGTGCGAAAGTGATGCGCTCGCGCGCCGCGCGCGGGTTGCTCGGCGCCACCACGCTCGCTTCACGCTCCTGTTCTCCTGAGAGAGCCCGGCGTGCGTCGGTTTGCATCCTAGGCATCTGCAGAGCCTCTTCATATATCGTGTGAGGGTGATCCACCAGTCTCTGGAGGATGTTTCTTAGGCTGCGCGTCTCGGACGAGAGAATAGTGCACGATTGATATTCAAGTCAAAGACGGAATGGCGTCGGGTGGTCGGTGGAAGTGGTCGCTCTGTGCGGAGGACCCTCAGGGTTCCGAAGATGTGGTCACAGATCATATTGAGTACATGTGGGATTAACCCGTAAACTTGATATCGTCGCGCTTCCGCGTAGTACTACCTTTACTATGCGAGTCGAGCCGTAGCCTGAAATACTATAGCGCGGCCCCTCGTTGTACCGTGTCTAGTACCGTTCTACGTATACATGCGCGGATCTGCTACGCGTTTGAACCGTTTCGAACCGTTCAACATCGATATCACCTGATCGTGTTCGGACCTCGGTACCGAAGAGTTGCCACAGGTCGTGTGCACCACCAAACGAACTGTCTTGTTCTCAGCGCTCATCTCTTCCTTCGGCCCGCGATACCCCCTGCCCTTGTGATACCCATACCCCTCCCATGGCACCGTGGAATGAGCTGCGAATACTAAACGCTGTACTACGCAGAATCTGTGAAGACGATTTCACTGTTACCAGACCGGATGTCCCTCGAGAAAAGTACAAGTCTATTCGAAGATGGTACGACGACAGGCACGAGAACGAGCGCCTCGAGACCGTTGGCGACTCCATCCTATGGATGTGCTTTACTCTCAGGATGTACGAACAAGAAGACGCTACGCCCGGAATGATCACGGTGAGTCGTTCATCTACGACACCCTCTGTACTGCCATTCACATCTTTTGCAGAAGCTGAAGAACGTGCTTCTCAGCAATATGGTACTTGCGCTAGTTGCCGAGAAGAGCGATTCAAGGCTTCCGGTTGCTTACAAGACATGCTCATTTCTGCACGACGTACAAGAGCTGTTGGAACGGCAGAAGCGTGGCGAGCAGGTCAAGGTCCGTCTCCCGAAGGCGAGATTCAAGCCCACCGCGGATAAGCTCGAAGCCCTCGCTGCGGCGCTTCATATGGCACATGGTCTTGATGCCGCGCGACAGTGGTTTGACTCTACGTTTGAACCTCTCATTGAAGCTGGGATTGAAAGTACGCGCCAGAGGACGAATAGGTGCGCGTGGATCGAGGTCTATGCCCGTCCTAGACTCATGATCTATCTGTTCTTCAGCGCGCTTGGAGCCGGTCCTTCATCCTCCCCTCAGAAAGGCAAGAAACGAATGCTCGAAGATGCATCTTCGACTTCCCAAAACGCCAAGCGGATGCGAACCGAAGCCGGGCCAGGTAAGATCCCTACTGCATCTGATTCGGCCTTAGGCGCTCAATCGATCGCAGTACCGGCAACGTTCGACCAAAAGGGTAAGGGAAAGGTCAACGAGCCCATCCCGGATGACGCAGTTGTCATCGACCTCACCATTGACGACATCTCCGACGATGAAGTAGAGGAGGCACTCGATGAGGAAGTGGAAGAAGACGAAGACACTTTAGACAACGAGCATTCCATCATCGATCTGACCGCCGACGACTCTGATGAGTACGATGACGACGGCGATGTACGTTGGTAATTCCTTCTTTGCTCGTCGATAGTGGCTAACGGGGATCAGTTAGTAGATGAACATGCCCGACTATCTATCGCTACACAGGTAGATTCAGCTCCGCCTCGCGCGATCCATCCACTTCCACGGCGTCCGCATGTCTTTCCTGCAGCCAGCACGTCCAATCCGGCACCCGAATCCTTTCTCCCCAAGAATGGGGGAAGACGGCTATCCTATACGCGTCCCGGTCATTGCAGGACTGTTGGCCATTATGCACCCGTGCATCAACTCGCGGGACACCAGTCTGAATCAGTCTTCGGCGTTCAGCGCGTAGGCGCGACGGCGTCTGCTCCCAACCCTCCTGCCTCCGTGTTCGGCGTTCTCCCATTCTCTGAGAATAGGTTCACCAAAGCGCCCCCCGCGGGACTCTCTGTCTTCAAGGCGCCCACGAGCAACGGTGGCACCGAGCCGCGAGTTGTGTCGGCGTTTGCGGCGGTCTCTACGGCTTCGACTTCGATGGCTTCAGGCTCAACTCGCGGCCCACCGCCAGCACCCGGCCAGGGAAAGAAGTCCATACCCACATACTTTGTTCCTACAGCACAAGTCCCGAACAAGGAGAACGCGAATAGGACTACCATTACTGGAGGCGAACGTGTTGCGACTGCGTCGCGTTCGGCCTTCACATTTGGGCCCTTTACTCCAATGCGTCCGTCGAGATGGCCCTGAGATGCTTTTGCAAATCCGTCTCCCTGCTCTGCCGCGTTTGCGGTCACCAGCCAACAAGCGGGTGAATCAGAGAACCAACCTCGTTGACCCGCCGCTGTCGCTTTCAAGAGTTGTCTCGCTGAGACTACCCTCGCTATGATCTCACGTCTCTATGTTATTACTCAGTTATAGCGTCATCCACAGTTGTACTTCACCTCACACTTCTGTATCCAGCTACTTACACCCTCTTGTCCTCGCCACAAATTATGTACTATCACCATATGGAACGCATCCTGCCATCGTTGTATTCGCACTATGTATAGGCATACCAAGCGGATCTTACTATACCATCGTACAATACATGTCCCAAATAGTACCTCAACAATCAACGCGTCCGCCGCTTTCGAGATTGAGTCCCTGTTGCGCGTTCGACGTCGCATGATGGCGCCGGCGTTCGCGCCGGCTGCGCAGCTTCCAACATCATGTCATCTTGTCTTCGCCCGTCATGGACTGCCGCCTCAGTCATGCTACCCGTGACAGGTATAAGAACTCGGACCAACTTTCGTCTACTCCCTAGGCCATAGGGTTCCTC